AGGGAGGGTGCCGCTGGAGGCTGCCCAGCGCCCGCGCGGGGGGCACACAAAGGGCCTTTCTTCAGCCTCCCACAGACATTGCACAAATTTCACTTTCCGCCGTCTATGAAAGACATTCGGCCGCTGAGACAAGACGCGCTTGTGATTAAAATAATCGGCATGAAGAGGGGGGCTGTTCAGCGGCTCTGCCGTCGGGTGCCTTTGGGGGGGGGCAGGAATGCGCCGCCCCGAGCCCCGGCTGCACCCCCACACCCAGGGGCACGCACAGGGAAAACCACGGGCCTTTAGGGGGGTTTTCCCCCCCCCGGCTAAAGCCACACAACTGGGAAAGCACCAGATAGGGTTTAAAACCCGCAGAGGCTGCGAAGGACAGCACCATCCTGCCCCATGCAGAACTCTCCCTAAACGGGGAAAAACCAAAAAACACTGCGCGGGACGATCAGCCGGGCTGAGACCATCCAGCCCCCAAACCCCAACAGCATCCTCGCCCGAAGGCGCCACACTGCTCCCCGCGTTTTTTCTGCTTCTGGGAGCCCTTTGCCAGAAAAGGGAGCCAGAGATGAAAAGAGTTGCTCCACAGTTAACAGATGCTTAAGTATTAAAAATAAACAATCCTGCTTTATTTAGCACATCCCCGATGCTTTAAGCGTGAAGTAACCCGTTTCCTACCGGTGGCAGTACCGAGTGCCCTTGCCGGCGGGGTGCTACGCCCAGGGTCAAACTCCATCCAAAGCCCCCAGCCCCCCGCCCCCCCTCAGGGCCTGGAGCCTTTGCTGTGACCCCCCTTTGCCGTGACCCCAGCATCCACCTTCAGGCACTGGCAGCTTAATCCCCCGCAGAAAGCTCCGAAACGGGACGCTGGAGGCCGGGCGCAGGCACACGGGGGTGACTCACTCGTCCCCCCGGTTCCAAGGGAGACCCTCGCCCAGGCAGCGCCGGGTCCGGCACCCTCGGCCGGGTGAAGGGGACGCTGGGGCCCGTGACAGCGCCCAGGGGGATGCTTGGCCCCGGGGGGGTTTCACCGCTCGCCTCTCACCTTCCACCAGCTCCCCGCCACTTGAACTCCTGCCTCACCCTGCCTGGGATTTTCCCCCCGGCTGCACAATGGCCCCTGTATTTATTTTAGCCACTGTTCAGGCCAGGTTGCCGGCCAAGTCCTTCCTTCACAGCCAGACCCAGCCAGATGGGGATAATTAGGCCTGGATTAAGTTAAAGCTTTAACTCTTTAACAGGGAGCAGTGCCACACAGCCCCTCAGCTCCTCTCCAGCTCTGTCCCCACCCCACCAGCCATCCCATTCAATTCGTTCTCTTACAGTACACGTTTCTGGATTTCCTCGCAAACCAGATTAATCTGCAAAAAATGCTGTTATCACACCCACAGCAGGTGCCAGGTGAAAGATCTGGCAGGGAGCAGTGCACAGCACCCCTCCTTCCTCCGCAGGGGAGACCCGGCCACAGGGGTCTGAACCAGCACATCTCGGGGGGCCGCAGACCCCGGGCCGGGCTGTGCCCCTGCTCGGGGACACGGGCAGGGCCATGGCCGCAGGAGCCGCTGTCACGGGACAGGCTGGTTCCGCTGTCATGGGCGCGTCAAACGCCCGACGTGCTGGCGTGACCCAGCCACAAGCTGCTTTCCCAAAAACCTCAACTCTGCCCCAGGCACTCACTCACCTCTGCAGGAGTGCCACCAGCCTCATCTTCACTAAGGAGCAAATCGCTGCCTCAACAAAGAGCTGAAAAAAAGAAAAAGTAAAAAAAAGGTTCCTCCAGTCTCTCCAGTGAGGCAGAGAGCAGGCAGCGGGGCAAGCCCGGGGCCTGGGGGGCCATGCAGCACGCAGGTGACACATTCTCCCCACTCTCACCCCGTTTGGCCCCTACGCATAGCCCAGTCTAGTTAGACTGAGCTGGGCAACACACCCGAGCCGGACCCAGAGCTCTTCCCAGACCCGCGCTCAAGGTGCCGTACTTAAACCGCAGCAACAGGGCGCGTGGCCGGCGCGCAGCATCCCGTGTGAGCCGTGGCCGCAGGAGCCAAGGGCGAGCGGCCGCCTCCATCTGCCCTCAGTCACCCCGAGGAGAGGGAGGACCTTCCGCCCTCCTCCTTCCTCCATCTCCCGAGCGAAGCACCCGCCACCACCTGCCAGCCGCAGCGCCAGGGGCAACCCCCGACCCGTGCCGGTCCCCAGGCCACCAGTAGCCCAGGGCTATGGCTACCGTGCAGTTGTGCTCAGGCCGCAGCACCGGAGCCAGAGCGAGCGAGGGGCAGACCTCCGGCGGGGCAGGGCTGCTGGTCCGGGCCGAGCGCGCCTCGTGGGGACAGTTGCGGCCAAGTCAACGGAGGCTGAGGAAAAGAATTCAAACCAAACCAACGTTTTTAATAGATATTTATTACAAAACACTAAAATACAAACCGAACGTACAAAACATTATAAAAACCGGACAGGCTGTAGGTATCTACACCGGGCACCTGCGAGGGTCTCCTGGAGCCCTGGAGTGCCCACGGCCTCTGGGACCACGCCTGGCTCCTGCCCACCTCCGTAAAAACCGACCCCGGGCTCCCCGGCCTTCAGGTGAAATCACACTCGAACGCGTACTCCCTCCTCTTGAAATGCTTCTTCTTTTTCAGCTTCCCAGACCCCAAGATGCTGTAGTTATAATCAGATGTGACATAGGGGATCTCCCCCTCAACTGCTTGCTAGAAAAGAGGGAAAACAAAACCAGAGACAGGTTTAAGAACGTGGACCTCTACGGGAGCGGGACACACTTTTCTCTGCAGCCTGACAGAGCCAGCAGAAAGGAGCAAGCCAGCGCCGAACAAACCCCGCGCTGGTATCCAAAACTCGACAAGAACGCTCTCCTCTCCCTTGTTTCTGTGTTAAGGACAATCTCCACGAGAGATAACCGTCTGCTAATGCCCAGACATCTCTGGGCATGCAAAAGCCTCAGGAACAGGAAAACAGAAAACCCGCCAGCAGCTCCCAGCCTCTTCCCACACAGCTCCCACCTGGCCCACAAGAACGCAGTTTGGGATGGCGACGTTGCCAAGGAGCAGACAGTTCACCAGTCTCAGGCTCTCCGGAGGCACTGGCGTCAGAACGTGGTAAAGCTTCTTCTCCATCTCAACCCCTCGCACAATCCCTGAAAAAAAGTACACACAAGGTTCAGTCTTAACTCCACCTGATTATTTTGGACCACACAACCAGACGCAGCCAAAGCTCTCTGAGCAAATGGCTCTTCTAGAGCCAAGGGAATGATCTGAGACACATCTCTTTAGAGACATGCACCGCTGTATCCCGCTCCTCCACTATCTCAGTGTACGTGGGACCTTCCCAAACCACCTGTTCTTGCTCACTGGTACATGCCTGCAGCAACTCGAGGAGCTCAGTATCAAACCCTAGGTCAGAACTGTAACAAATCAAGTCATGGAAGGAAACTGAAACACAACTAGAGGAATTTTGCATGAGCCACCTGCAATCTGCTTTTGAGAACGTAAATTGGGAAAGCAAGTAAATTGCCAAGTGACGAGGAGTGAGAGAAGGGAGCTACAACAGGCACCGCTCAGCGCCGCTCCCACAAGGTCATGAAAACCAACGGGCTTGAAGCACAGCTCGTAACAGAAGGATTCTCCTCTTTCATCCCACTTTTTCAGTAGTTTTTGAAAGCGGAGGCGATTCCGTCACCCTACACCTCTCTGTCAAAATGCCAAGGCGAGGAGCCGAGGGCCCCCCCGGCTCGCTCACCGAAGCCGAGGCAGTCGCAGACTGGCGTCTGGGTCAGCAGCACCGGCCCGTCGGTCTGGCAGCGGATCTCATCCGGGATCCGGCAGAGCCCCACCCAGCTGGCGTTCACCGCGTACATGATGTTGGTAGGAGCCACATCCGTGTGAATAACCCTGAGGGCAACCGCATTGAAAGGTACCTGAGGGGGGACAAAAAAGAAAAAAACTGTTCACCGACTCAGTATCAATTTAGTTTGAGTTCAAAGATAAGATAATGCTCAGCACACAGAGCTGAGAGCTCCCAACCCGCACCTACAGACAGGCACTATCTCTAGCAAACAGAACAGTTTCAACACCAACACTGACCGCACAGAAAACACGTGCCACGCTGACACCTGAACAAAACCCTCACTTCCAGATACACCAAATAAAGCCGTTATCTCTTTGCAGATTACAGAGTGTCTCCCCCCTCTTCCAAAAACCATCTGCAGTACAGGCAGAACTGTCAATCGCTACGAGTCGGGCTCTCTGCTACATCTCCAAGGCTTTCAAAAACATTTGTTTACCTGATACGGCACAAGACTGTGCAGCGGAAGCACCGCCCCGATGTCCGGGGACTGCAGCTGCCCCAGGTAACCCAGGATGGACATGTCACGCAGGATGCCGCTGTGTACTCGCCTGGAAAAACAACCACAAGTCAAGGGAAGGCAGCAAAAACAACCACAGTGACTCAGAACAGACACCCAGGCAGTCCTGAGCACGCCAGGCAGCACGAGCTGCTATTCCACTAGTTTAGTTTTTAAAACTTCTACCCTGGGAAAATTTAGAGCTAGGCTTTTGTTACCTCTGAGGGATTTAGGGCACTGTTTCAACTTTATAAAGGCCTTAATTAAAAAGGGGTTTTGTGGGGTTTGTTTTGATTTTTGTTTGTTGCATTTTTGAAGGGGGTTTGTTTTGTTTTAAGTCTGTAAGAATGGGTAAGGAACCTCCCAATTAAAGAAAAGAGACCTAATATTCCACAATTCCAAGTGGAAGTCATGTCCAGTGTAAAAGTCACTGGAATCAGGGAGGAACAACTCCCCACTAACCTAAAAACCCAACCCTACACAAACCTCCCCCAACAAAACACCCAGAAAACCCAAACAAGCAACACCCAAACATAGCCTGCCAGTGAGCAAGAGCTCTGCCCGATGGAGCTCCCGAGGCCAAAGCAACAAGAGCCTTTCCAGTCAGGCCTAGGCTTTGGTAAGCTCACCAACCACCCCGTAAGCACTAAACCTTCTACTTACGCTTCGCCGGCAACCCCTGCTCGAGGGAACTCGGGATGGACGTAGAGCAGCTTGTAGTCGGGAACCGAGGCGTCTCCCTCTCCTTCAGCCGGCTTCCAGTGCTCCGCCCCACCCGTGCCCATCTGCTGGCACTTGCCTTGCTGTTTGCCTTTGGTGTAGAGGCCAGGAGTGAGGTGAACGTACTCCGGGGTGAGCGGAGCCATGGCCTTCCAGTCGTACACATCCATCTGAACAATGTGACTGGGCGACAACAGCCGAATGATATCAATCAGAAGCAGCAACCCCTCACCTTTAGGGAGCAGAGAAAACACGATTGCTGCCACTACACCCACAGCTGGGAACACTGTTATGGAAGACCAGTACTAGCTGTACTGGGGCGAGCTGTATCTTCTGGCTCCACGCTCGCTATAAAGCGCGATGGTGCATCGCTACAATTATCACCCTCCTTCAGTACCACCTCCTGAGAACAGATTTATCCTGTTTACCTTTCACCCAGCCCATAGTGTTGATGATTAAAGGCATTTCCTTCTTGTAGGAGTTGAACACACACTTCACGACATCAAGGTATCTTTCTGTGTCCTGCTCACAACTGGTCTGCCCGTAATACACCATCTTGCGTGGCGTTTGTTGATGAGTGAAGGGCGGACCTGAAAAAGCCGGCAGAAAACCTCTGGTTGTTCCAGTAAGTCAAATCAAAAAACTCCCATCCCTGTAGCACCCACGTGCAGTCTGTCCTCTTTTTACATGCTAACAGTCCTTCTCATACAGCTCGCACCCCTGGAGAAACTCTTCTGTCACTTGCAAGACTCCATGCTAGTTCTGTCTGTTTGGGGTTTGGGGTTTTTTCTTCTTGTTTGTTTTAAATCACTGGTTACACACTTGTGAATTTTCAAACAAGTATCTTCTATGACAGGCTATCCAAAAAGTAAACCAGTCTGGCCACATCCTTTTTAGACAGCAATCCAAATCCACAAGACCACAAATATCAGCAACTTCTCAGGCTGTAGGTTTTTTTTACGCTCATAACAACAGCCCCCAGCCTATGTGGATCCACTATCTGTTTCTCAAGCTAGTTTTACCTACAGATACTAAAAACTGGGAAAGATTTTACCAGAGAAAACTTTCAAATCAGAAAGTCTAAAAATCTACTTTGACATGCCACAGCCTGTCCCATCACCTTATAAACAACTATCTTCTCTCTTCATAAAAACAAGCAGGGAGAATAGCTGCTTGGCGAGACTTTCACGTGGAGCTTAAACGCCCCCAGCAAGGAAACTTTAACAGCCGTTGGTTTGTTTTCTACATGCGCTTTCGACAGATGCGGCAACTTCCCCTGAAGTATAGCCTCTACTCAGAAAGCACCTTCAGGAAATGAAACCGGTTTCTGGCAACAGCAGAAAACGGCAAAACACGTACCAAGAACTGGCTCTGTTACGTTACTTAAAGACACGCATCCAGGCGGCGTAAATTCGGTTTGACCTATGTCACATTCCATATATTCAACTGCGGGAAGGCTGCAGCGAAAGAAGCCTGTTTATTAGCATCCGCTAAAAAAAAGAGACAGGACACAACCTGGAACACATCACAAGCACAACCCGATTTTGTTCCAGGTCGTCAGAATTAAATTCTTGAACACAATCAAACCACCACTTGTCTCTCTCCTTCCCTCATTTGAGATGGCATTAAACAAGAACACAAAAGGTTCACCGATGGTTCAGCATTCGATTACAAAAGCTCCATACCCATCCAGCTTGAAGGGAAGTAGCTACAACAATAATCCCAGGTGGTACTAAAACTAAAGAGCGTACCACCTCTCCCTTGTTGACTGGGCAGCCCGAGACCAGCCGTTGGAGTTTTTGTAAATTTATAATCTTTACTTTAACCATGCATCCATACTTTAAGTCTGGAGAAAAAGCTTCTACACCCTGCTCTGCCAAGAATGCTCAAAGACACTAACAAATGAAATGTTACTGCGTGTTTCAAAGCGTTGTAACTCCCAATTCCTTCCAGAACCCTAATTGCTTGGTGACCCATTAGTTCAAATACTCCAAGACAGCAATTTAGTAGTATTTCAAGATAATTATTTCAGTAGTCAACTTCTCAGAAAGCAACCCAAGACAAGAATTACTATTGTTCTAAATTTTTATTTGTTAAACAGAAATCCACCTTCCATTCGGAACAGCTTTTCTGAGAATCTTGGTAGGCAGTTTTCTTCCTCCTCCTAAATCCCATGCAGTACTTAAATAAACTTGTAGAATGTGAAAAGACTCACCGATTCAGTAACAGATTAATCAGGTATCTGTTAAATGTCGATTTCCCAGTGTTTTTCGGGCCACACACCAGAATCATGGGGACACCTTCATCTTCCGCTGGAAAAACAAACACACTCTGAAATGGACCGATGCTGCCAGTTATTCTGATGTGCAATGTTCACATCAATTTGTTTTTAAAAAAAAGAAAAAGCCCAAAGACACCGTATCTGACTAGGATATTTTAATTAAATGGAAAAAAAACCCGTCATGTTTAAGCATGCCAGTCAGTGTACAGGGAAAAGGTTGCTGAAGTGAGAGGCGAGCTCTAGCACTACAACCCAGCATACACGAATTCCCTATTGCTCACAGTGGTTTAGATGTTGGTGGATAAAGGGGAAGTTTTTCCACCTGCTACAAAAGAGAGCAGAATGAGTTTTGGTATCAGACTGGGAAGTGCCTTTTCAGCAGCAAGCTGCCTGTCTGGCAGGAGAGGCACAAACCCATGAGAGGCGATGCACGAGCTCAGGAGTCCCCGTATTTAGAGGAAAAACACGACCCTGGACCAGTGCCTGTGCAGGACGTGCTCTCCCTAACTTTAACTCCTGAAAAACCTAATGGATTTCCCTTCTTCAGGCTACTAAAGCCCCCAAGCTCGCCGAGCGCAGGCCACTCACCGCAGCAGGCTTGGATCAGCTCCTCCAGAGCCACGAACATGCTCTCAGACACCAGCAGCCCACGGTCGGGGCTACACTTGACGATGCCAACAGAGGCCAGAACGGCATCCTCCGGCGTGAAGCTGGATTCCTCCTTTTTCTGGGGCGGAGGGAAGAGCGCGTTGGGGCGTAGCGGCCGCCGGCAGGCACGCCAAGCGGGGCGGCCGCCCCTCGCCCTGTGC